TTAGGATTGTTATTAGTTCAATTTTTAATTAACTCTAGTTTTGTATTAGTTTATTTTTTCAGCTTTAGTAACTCACCTCCATCGTGATTCAAGTATTCAGTTACTAAGGTTCATTATATTCGTGCAGCAGCAGTTCAGTATATTCGCTGTTGTGTTTTTAGTTTTTGTGATTTAGCAGTCAGGGATGCTTGCTTGTTTGTAGCAAACCATCAAAGGTTTTTTTTTTTTCTGTTGCCATGAAAACTGATTTTTCGTTCACATGTTACTGCAATATTTTCTTGATTGTTAGTCTACTCAGATTATATTTGCTCATGTAGCAATTTGAAGATTACCATGTTGCAATGGTGGTCTGATTTCAATTTGGGAGCTGGATGATAATTGGTCTGTCCATTCTATATAATAATATTAGGTCATTAGTTCTCTATAGGATTTTACATTGGTTTCAGATTTGGATTAGATTAATTTCAGGTTTCCGAAGCTGTATACGTTAGTTTCAGGTTCAGTTATGTTATTAGTTTAGTATTGTGTACTTTCAGTTTAAGTATTTCAGTCGCATTTTATAAGTGTTAATTGACTCCTTAGTTTTTTTGTTGGCATGGAGTTTCTGTAATCCAGCCTGGTGCATGTTTTTTATTTATTTTTCATTATTATTTAGTTTCAGTTGTAGATATTTTAGTCCCATTGTGATTCAGGTACTAAATCTAAGTTTCTAGTCTGTCAGTTTCAGTCTTAGGTATGTTTCACATTGGTTATGATGTTTACTGAATCTAGTTCAGTTCGCTGTACATTTTCAGTTGAGTTTCAGTTAACTGAATCTAGTTCAGTTCAGGTTTAGTGTTTTTTTCATACATCTTTCAGTGCTTTTATTCATACATGACGTAGTGAGTTTTCAGTGTCTCTTTTCATACATGTTTCAGTTTTTTTTTTCGTACATGACACAGAGTTTTCAGTGTCTTTTTTCATACATGTTTCAACGTTTTTTTTTACATGATGTAGTGAGTTTTCAGTGTCTTTTTTCATACATGTTTCAGTGCTGTTCCATAAAGAGGAAGGTACACAGGGAGCAGCAAGCTAGCGCAATGACATCCTCTTCTTCTTCGCCGCATAAATCCGGCGCCCAGTTCACACCACGAACAAGCTTCTCTTCAAAAGGCGATTCCTTCTGATCCTCTTCTTCGTCGCATTTTATAAGTTTTAATTGACTCCTTAGTTTTTTTGTTGGCGTGGAATTTCTGAAATCTAGCCTAGTGCATGTTTGTTTTTTCATTATTATTTAGTTTCAGTTTTAGTATTTCAGTCCCATTGTGATTCACGTATTAAATCTCAGTTTCTAGTCTTCTCAATTATATTGCAAGTCTTCCATAAAGCCCAAGACATCCTTGCAGATCCAATGTGGAGCTTTACACTTGTCGTAAAGTCATCTTCTTCCCTGAAAATGAGCCCGTGAGATGGGAAGGACTCCTAACAAAGAATGACAGGTATACAACCGTACCCTAAATGTATTTCGCAGGATGACAAGTAAAGAATATGTGGTCAATTGTTTCCACATTCTCACACAGAAGACATTTAATAACGCCACCATTTGAACCCCTGTGCTGTAAAATAGATGCAGCAGGAAAGCTTTTGATGATGCATCTACCAAAGAAAATTTTTGATTTTTAAGGGTATCATCTTGTTCTTCCAAATGTGTTCACTATCTTTGTAAAAAACACCCCCTTGTGTTTAAAATATATGTTGTGATTTGGTAGTAAAATCATTTAAGTTTGGTGTGGACTTCAGTGGACTTTGGCCTGAGGTGCCACTGGCTTGTCAGTATAGCAAGTCGAGCTGGATTTATTGTGCACTCTAACAAGTTGTATTAGAGCCCATGGTTGAAAAACCTGGAACATCTTAGCAGCACATGGTGACGGGGAAGCCCATGAACATCTCCACAGGGTGACATGGGTTGTATGTGATATAAAGAGTCAGACTTAGAGCCTAGGATGACGTATTCCGGAGATCACACAGGGTGCATGTGATGAGACAAAAGAGTTGGGCTTGATGCATGATGAGGAGATTGTTAGGTTTAGTCACATTAAAAATTGATGGTGGTGGAGCACATATAAGGAAGGGAAACCTTCAACCTTTCAGTCTTTCAGACTAGTCTTTTAGGTTTAATTTTTTGTGCTTCATATTTTATTTTATTTATTTGCATTAATATAACTAAATTATTCCAGACCTGTGTTGTTTAATTTTTGGCCTTCATATTTTATTTTATATATGTCTTATGATTCTGGCATTCATTATCAAATGAGGTGCTGATGTGCGGGAACTGACCTTGTGTAATTTGCGACGTTGCACTGTTGGCAGGTCTGAAGCCTTCTCAACATTCTTCAGTTCATATATCACAGAAAGAATGTCCTCTCTTCTTTCTCCTGAGTTGTAATGCAAAGCCAGCTCGTATCTTCTGTTAATATATGCGGTGAAAGTTCAATTACTTTGGCATGGCTTAATGCCCTGACGTGCTGATGCACTTTGTCTTTAGACTTCCCGTGTAAAAGAAATCGATTTGGCTAAACTTTAATTAATGAACTATATGGTGTGTTTAGATGCTTAAGCTTTAATTAATTAACACATGCATTAGCTGGCTTATGTGCAAAAATAATTTTAAATACAATGTTTCCTATTTGTTTTAAATACACAAGGTGACGTTGTCAGGTTGTGCGAAAAATGTCGTTGTTTGGTTGCTTTCAAGTACAACCCTGTAATGAAGCCATGACGTTAGCACGGGCACTATACTAATAGTCCTTAAGGCATTGGTTGGTTGTGGGCTCCGGTTAACCTAGGCCTAGTGTGGCGTTGACTCATGGGTATAGTGAGCTGTGCTAGATCTGCTGTGCACTAGAGACCCATAGAAAAAGGTGGTTGACCCAGATGCCTCAACAAATGAAATATACTAGTCTGATAACTGTTGTTGTAGTAGTGCTATTTGAGGAAAAGAAAAAAAAATATTGTTCCTTACTCTGTACATCATATATGTATAGGGCCTGTGCGGCTGGTATTAAAGCCAGCTGATAAGCCGGTTGAAGCTGTTTTGTTGTGAAAAAATACTGTAGATTCTAGCTGATAATCCGGCTGATAAGTTCAAGCGAACAGACCCGTAGGCTTAGCAAGGATATTCTCAATCATTACACACACACTCTCTCTCTTGGCTTGGTTCCTAATTCCCACTCCAAAAAGGATTAGGGTATCAAGCACAATTTAGATTTCGTGCCAAAACACCTTCACCGTCAAGATGCTCATCGGTGTGGACAAAGGTAGTGCTATCGCACAGATGCTGGTGTCCCCTCTTCGTCCTAGGCACGTTTTCACCCTCTTCACCCTCCCAGAGCGCAGAGGCCAGCTTCCCCACACATATACCTCGGCTACTCAATCACCAACCTCCTTGCAACTACCGTGATCGCCATCGCGTTTTTGCAGGTGGCAGGGTAGAGTAAGCCTGGCATGCCAAACACTTTATAAGAACATATTGGATGCACATGCATGAAACTAGTTAACATCTTCAAATATCTATATTATCCATGAGCAATTTGAATGAAAGATGCCCAAGTGAACTAAGAGTACTCCACATTTTCTTGGTTTGAAGATCCAAACCAATCCAACCAAGGAGATAACCTAGAGGATCAAGTACGGCAGTCATACAAATTCTTCAAATATGGGCAGCATAGATGAGCAATTTGCGAGAAAAATAAATATCCTCTAGTAGCAGTCCAAATCATAATTATTTGAAAATCCAAAACAATCTAACCAAGGAAATAAACTAAGATTTCAATGGTTTTCTAGTTAGGAACTTCTAAAGGGTAATGCAAATTCTTCAAATATTGGTGGCATCCAAGAATAATTTGGTGAAGATTGGCCTCTAAAATAAACAAACGAGCCTCTCCATTTCATTGATTTGGAGATCCAAGATGATGAAGCTAAGGAAAGAAGCTAATAACAATTTTAAATGGATGGTTGATTACCAACCTTATTGTAAGAGAGTCATGTGATTTGAATGGCCCCAACAATTGACTGAAAAATAGGAAAGATGCTTTCTTTTGATCGGCATGGTTGACAAAGTAGAGGGAGGTCGGTCCCAAAATAAGTCAACTTTTCGTGTTATCCCATGTCAAAAGATCAAATTTATAAAAACAAATGACACCAATGTTTGTTATGGTATAACATTAGTATGTTTAGAAACACCATTATAGATATATTTTTAGATCATTGATGTTGGCATTCTTTTCTATAGAGATGGCGAAAGTTAAGCGGGTTTGACTTAGGACAACTTTAAAAATTGATTTATTTAGGAACAGGATATACAATTATTTAGCTGGCAGTGATGGCCGACGACAGTGATCGGCAATTCGGTCATATAGGCCTGCTATTTTAGAGCTGCAAGTAGTGCAGTCGAGTCAGACTCCACATCATTCTTGCTCTGAAACAGTTTGCAGCCGGGCGGGCGGCCAAACACGCTTCGATCGGCTTCAGAACAGACCACGTCTGTACTGAATGCAACCTTCCAGCTCCTGCCACCAGGCCATTATCAGTTACCTTCATGATATTATTAGTTTGAGCTGACCATTCAAGGGGCCACCATTATGTTTAGCACACCGAAAAACTATTGCCATCCATACTCGAGTGTCATATTGAATTTCGGTGGTCTGCACAAAATATCTCTACGTACGTAGACTACGTTGGCTAGCTGTGCGCCATTCGAGGGGGAAAAAGAGAAATATTCCTCTCTCTCTCTCTCTCTCGTTTAGATGAAGTACCTACTCTCTCTCTCTATGTAGTCTATATATATCTACTACTCCGTACTAGATAGAGAAACTAAACGAGGGAGAGCGTTGTTCGTTCATCTCTGAATCACTAGCATCTTTCCCTCCTGGCTTGGTTCCTCACTCCGGCCCTCTCCAAAACCAAAAGGGTAGTAGTACGATATGCTCATCGTTGAGGACAAAGGGGCCGCCATCGCGCTGATGCTGGCGTCCCTCTTCGTCCTAGGCACCTTCCCCGCCCTGCTGACGCTGCTGGAGCGCAGAGGCCGGCTGCCGCAGCACACGTACCTCGACTACTCCATCACTAACCTCCTCGGTGCCGTTGTCATCGCCGTCGCTTTTGGGCAGGCAGGAGAGAGTAAGCCTGGCATGCCAAACTTCTTCACTCAGAGCTCACCCAGGTTAGCTAGCTAGTGTTCTTCATTCATTCATTCCGGTTGATCTCCGAGCCAGCTTCTTTGCTTGAACTGAATTTTTGTGATGGCAGATACAGGATAACTGGCCTTCAGTCCTTATTGCAATGGCCGGTGGAGTCACGCTCGGCCTCGGGAACCTCATCTCGCAGTATGCATGGGCGTTTGCCGGCCTGTCAGTGTCCATAATCATCTGCTCATGCATGGCTGTTGTTATAGGTACATATATATATGCATCCAACATTTATGAACATTGCTGTGGTAGAAATTAATTTACAGAAGGTTACAGGAACGACCACGAACTATTTTCTGGATGGGCGGATAAATCGAGCTGAGATCCTTTTCCCTGGTGTGGCCTGCTTCCTCGTCGCAGTCTTCCTCGGTACAGCTGTCCACTGTTCAAATGCCAGGGATAATCAGGAGAAACTAAGAACGTCAGGAAACATCCATGCATGCATGATCCATGTGATGTGTGCAGCATTATTTTCCTTAATTTGGTCAGCAATTAGAACAACTTGTTTTGTTTGTTGCAGGGTGGAGAACAGAGGTACTGAGCTTAGCAGCAATGCCACCGACACTGGTAGTGTTCCATTACCATTTTTTTTAGTAAAATATGAACTGTTCACGTGACACAGTCAAGAGATTAGTAGGGAAGATGAATAAAATTGTTCTCCAGGGAAGGTGCTGCAGGTGGCAGATCCTGAAACAGGTAAAAACGTCGACGGCACAGATCACAATGTTGTCAGTTATCAGGCGCGAAACCGGGCATTGCAGAGTTCATAATACAAATCGAGCAGAGACGATCAATCAAGGTCTCGTACTGTAAAAATACTTGAAGTTTTAAATCCAAACAAACATCAGTGCTCCATAGTGACCGATTGGGCAATGCTAAGGTACATCCTTTACCTCCAAAGAGGTAATATCTCAAATAAATCTGAGCCTTTGATTTTTAGATTTTTTTAAATCAATTAATTAACCTAAGAAAAGGAAAAAGAAAAAGAAAATATCTTCAAATCCCCTCACGCACGGGACAGACAGAAGCGGCGGCCGGCCGCGCGGCCCTTCCTTGTTGATTGCGGAGCCTTCCTTTCAGTATATTACATATATAAAAAATATCAACATGTAATAATTGAGTAATACATCATAATGCAGGTTCTGGACTCCCACAAGCTGCTGGGCCTGGGCTTGATCTTCCTTGCCGGCACCTGCTTCGGCACCTTCCTGCCGGCGATAAACCTGGCCACCGACGACCAGTGCCACGTCCTGCGGGACAGCGTGCCGCACCTGCTGGTCTATACCGCCTTCTTCTACTTCTCGCTCTCGTGCCTCACGCTCGGTGTCTGCCTCAACATCTGGTTCCTGTACCGGCCGATGGCCGGCGTGCCGGCGTCGACCGTCGGAGCCTACCTGAGGGACTGGAACGGCCGGCACTGGGTCCTTTTGTCAGGGACTCAGGGTTGCTCTGCGACTTTGGGAACGGTTTTCAGTTCATGGGCGGCCAGGGCTGCTGGCTACACGACCGCTGATGCGGTTCAGGTACTCTTGGTCTTGGCCACCACCTTCCTGTAATCCTGTAAGATCACCGGCCTCTGCAGGCTGGTGTTGTGTGTGGCTGTGTGCCGTGTGCGGGTGCGTTTCTGACACAACGCAACTTGTTGGCATTTCATGATCAGGTGCTGCCGCTTGTTAGCACGTTCTGGGGAGTCGTCCTCTTTGGCGAGTACCGGAGATCGTCCAGGAGAACGTACATGTTGGCATGTTGCTTGCCGGCATGCTGTCCATGTTCGTCGTCGCAGTTGCGGTTCTCATTGCTTCGGCAGGGCATAGGAAGACATCACCTCCATCGTCAGATGCTAAACTCATTGTTCAACGTCGTCAAGCTCTATGAAGAACATCGTGGATGCGACTAGCAGAATTTAATTTGGAGCAATTTGAAATATTCAGCTCTTTGTATATTTACCATTCCTTAGTATCCAGCAGGGATATTTTTGTTGCCTTGGTTTGATAGCACGTGATTTGGCTGATGGAGCAACTTATCCGTGTGGTATCTAGTTCAGATGCTTATAATAAGGTCCAACAGGCAACAGGCAACAGCACAAAGCTGTTCACCAACAACTAGGTCTTGGTGAGAACGGAGCCATGGCTTTGTGCTACTTTTGTCGGGCCTGGGCCAATTTTCCCATTTAGCTTTACTAATCGATCCTACTCACAATGTTCAAAGACTTGAAATCACAGTTGTCGGTTATATTCTTTGCAGCCGGGACTCTAAACTCACGAATCTTAGGCTTGGTTCACACGATTTTTCATGTCTCATGCACATGCAGTGGGAATCGCAATCGGTATTAATTAAAAGCAATGTAACTTGTCTATTGAAAGGACGAGATGGACGAAGAGGCGGTGAACCTTGTTTCATCTGAAGCCTATGCCCAGCGTCAGCAAGTTCAGACCCTCATTCAGAACACTCAGTTGCCACAAGAACTGGATAAATAATGGTCTTATTTACAGGGATCTGCAATCTTCTGTTCAAGTAAAGCCTATATAGAGCTAAGATTGGACACAGGGCAGTGCATAACGCATATCAGTGGCTTTGGAAATCCTCATGCCAAAATAAAAGAAAAAAATTCTTTTGGTGGGTTTTAAAAGACAGATTAGAGAGCTTCTTCAGAGCAGGAACATGTCTCTTCCAAATTACAATTCTGTGCTCTGTTCCCATGAGGCCATGACTACAAAATCTCTCCTTCACTTGCTTCTCGGTTGCCCGTTTGCTTTGGCGTGTTGGAACACGCTTAATCTTGCTGTGCCAGCCACTACTGATCTACTCCAGGTTGTGGCCAGTTTCAGGAATCAACTAAGTTTGCCATTTTTTATGGAGATTATCGTCACTGTGTGTTGGGCTATTTGGGCTGTTAGAAATAATGTCATCTTCAGGAGTATCCCTGCTTCAGTACAGAGATGCAGATCAATCTTCAAGTCTAAGTTTGCCCTAGTTATAATACGGGCCAATAGCAAGTATCCCCCTTCAATTGACTTATGGTTAGAACGAAGGTCATGTGTAGTTCTTATCTTCTTTGTAACTTTTTTTTCGTGATTGTCGTTGTAAAACCTTTTTTTTCCAGCAATAAAGCACAGTAAGGGCTCAAGCCCCTCCTGTTTTTGATCAAAACAAAGAGGCGGTGAACTGGTCTATAAAAATTATAAGCAACAAATCTCAACTTAAAAATAATACTTTGGTCTAATTTCCATATCTTGTGATGGGGACAAGGTTCCCGATCTTCCGTCATGTGCTGATAACTCTCGTTTTGGTTGGAGCACCGAACTCTGCAACCTTAGCACTACAACTCATCTGGTTATCAACCGTGTTACAAATCTAGTTGATCTCGCCAAGGAGGCTAATCTCTGCCTGCAAAACGAAGAACACAAGCAAGAACTCAAAACAAGACAATGGAGTGACAATTGCAGATGTATTACTAAGTTCACGAAAGTGGAGTTTCATAACGGATGACGGCGACTGTTCAATGACAGATTAATCTAAAACAAAACCCAAACACTAATGGTCGTCACAAACCCTGGACGCGCCACCTACGAGCTCTAAGACGATACACGACCCAACAGACCAAAAGACAGGGACTCAACACCCTGATAGATTTTAGACGCTGACTTTCGACAATTCCCATTGACTCCGGTGGATTTTGGACATCAACCAAAGCCATTGGTTAGCTTATAAAATTATCTTTCCATGCATATGTGGATTATCAAAAAACGGAGTCCAATATGCGTCCTGGGCATCTGTTTTACTGCAGGCTAGTCGTGAAGGCCGAGGTAGATTCGAACTCGAGTTGGACTGGACCTTTAGCTTGTCTTGGACGTTCTTTCTGGTCTTCTCCACCTCCACACCTCTCTCCAACTACTTCATGACCCTCTTCAATTAAAAGCCCTAGTTTGGTTTTAGATAATTGATGAAACCTATGAACTAATCCTTGAGCTAAATGTGTAGACAAGAAAGGATGGTCCAAAGCCAAGTGGTGGAGCTAGATGATGCTCATGGTGATGGTGGTGACCAAAAGAGATGATCAAATGCTCCAACTTGAAAAATAAGAAAGAGAAAAACAAAAACCAAGTGTTGATCAAGGTAAAGGTATCAAATAGGTTTTTGTTTTGGCATTCAAGAGACCATAGAGGGTGTGAGTGTGTTTAGAATCGATAACCGTACTATAAAGAGAAGAAATCTTTGGCTAAGTGGTTGTCGAGTGCCACTAGGTGATGTGATTCATGCATATGCATTTAGGTACCTAGTGTGCTAACAATTAACCCTTAAAAAATAGTTACAAAAATTCTAACACACATGCACATGAGTTATACACTTTGTGGTTAGCAGCTTCGAAGTAAGGGTGAAGTGTTTGAGGAGATAGAAAAAGAAAAGTAGATGATCTAGGTGACCGAACTCTGGGTCTCGGTGTGACCGGACCCACAAACCCTGGGTCTCGGCTAGCATCGATGTCTTGACCGGACGATGGACCAGACCCGCACGCAGCGTCCGGTCATGTGCAGCAGAGACTGCGCTGCTCGAGCAGTCGATCAGACGTAGGAGGCAACACACGACCGGACGCTAGGTGAACACTATTCATGCGTCTGGTCACGGTGATGTGGCACGCGTAGTGAATAGAAGAAGAGGACCGGCCGCCGGTCGCATCCGGTCAGAGAAAAACCTGTCTGTGTGGTTTCTAGAGCCGACCGGACTCTAGGTGTCCGTGCGTCCGATCGTGGCACAGGCACGTCCGATCCTTGGCTAGCGCGCGCAAAGGTGCCAACGACTCGATTTGAAATAAGGGCGACGTGGCAGGCACTGGGCGGCTCGGGGGTGTGACCGGACCCACCTGACCGGACGCTGGTGCGAGTCTTGTCAGTGCGTCCGGTACCCCTTCGATGGACCAATGGCTCTATTTCATTTGGCCGCCTATTTAAACTTTGTGGCTAGCCTTGGGGTCTCTCTCTTGGCCATTTGACATACTTGACATCCCTTTGAGCTAAGAAGCACCTCTCCCACTCATCTCCATCATTGATTTATCATCACAGTGAGATTGGGAGTGATTCTTAGTGCATTTGCTTGAGTGATTGCATTTAGTGGCACTTGGGAATCGTTGTGGCTGCGGATTTCTTGTTACTCTTGGTGGTTGCCACCACCTAGGCGGCTTGGAGCAGCTGAGGAGCATAGGCACGAATCGGTGATTATTCGTGGCCATCTCCCAGCGATTGTGAGGGGTCTTGTACCTTCCCCCGCGGAGAGCCAAAAGGTAACTCTAGTGGATTGCTCGTGTTATTGAGTTACCTCACTTGTGGGTAGGTTCTTGCGGTGCCCAAGTGTTGGGCTAGGTTTGTGAAACACCTATTAGGCGTCGAACCACCAAGTGTTCACTACTATAGATTGATTTATCACTGTCGCCATTTTCACAGCCATAGCTATAGAAGCGACGGTGTCATACTTCCACCGCGGTTGGACCGATAGGGAGGCCTCGTAGGGAAGGAAACTGGCCGTTGAAACTTCTACCACCCACGGGTTAACAATGGATGTGGCATTGGTATTTTCTCCATCGCATGAAAAGCCGACCCGACTAGGATAGGCGTTCTGGCTGCCGGCCCTACACGACCGTTTGGTTTACCGACTGTAGAAAATTTAGCATGAGTTATTTCCCCATTTCCCGACTACCCACAACACAGTTGCATCACCAATATTACTCCGTACTACTTCCACCTCTCCCTCTTCAAGGTTGGCGCATTGTTCCTCTCTCCCAGTTTATGTGAACATTGCTCGCCGCACCGCCGCCACCTCCCGCACGGTCGGTGCATTGTTCCTCTCACAATTTGTGTGAATCATTGCACACCTCGCGCAGCGCCGCCGCCAGATCCAAAGGCAAGGGTATGCTTTCGCACTTCACTGATGGATCTTTGTTGGATTATTTTCCTCTTTAATGATCTCATTACTAAGGAAGCTCTCATCCTACTGCACAATGACGATCGTAGGCTCTTCGAAATGGAGGCGGTCCCCAACAACAATAATGCATTGGCTAGCCTCATAGAGGATGTTGTTCTAGAGATCCTCTGCTGCCTCCTCGCCCACCCCTTGTTCTCCTACAAATGTGTCTATCACTCCTGGAAGTGCCTCATCTCCGACAACCGTCAGGTGCTGCCCCAGACTGTGGCCGGCTTCTTCTATGATTGTGAGAACGACAATCGAAACTTCACCAGCATCTCTGGTGTATGCCCCCTCCTTCGAATTCTTGCCCTTCAACCCTGACAATATAGATGTCTTAAATTGCTGCAACGGTCTCATCCTATGCTGGTGCCTTGTGGCTGATGGATACCGCTATGTCGTCTGCAATCTAATGACCCAGAAGTTTAATATACTGCCGCCTAGCACCCATGATGTTGGCCATTCTATTGGTGAGGCTCGCTTGGGGTTCAATCCAATAGCCTCCTCGCACTTCCATGTGATTGAGTATGTGGATGTCGACTGTTTCTACGTAGGTGTGGAGATCTACTCATCTAAAACTACAGCATGGATCTATAAAGAATCTGAATGGGGCAAGAATACTGATGTGACATTTTACAGACAACCAAGTGTGCTTCTTAACGGTTGTCTACACATTATGGGGCACTCTGTTATACTTGCTGTGGATATGGAGGGAAACACATCGAGGAAAATTGATAGGCCTAGTGGACTTCAACATTCCATGCATCAAGCTCAGGGTCACTTGTGTGTATGTACTGTTGCTGGTCCCAATGATTCCAAGCTTTCAATCTGGATCATTGAAGATTATGGTACTAATAATTGGACATTGAAGTATATGGTCAGCACGCAGATCTTGTTTGGAAGGATTAATATTAGATTTGGTTTCGTGGATTGGGTTGTCGA